GTGACATTAGTGAGAATCATACTTTCAATACATAGCCTACTGTTATCAAAATAAGTGCAAGGGTTCTCCAAAAATGACATTACAGCATATTTATCTTATTTAATCAAATCAAAAGACTTTCTGATAAAGTATGTTATTTCAAATTGTTTGAACCAATTTTTGCTTCAATAAATATGTAGCATATGTTATGCTTTAAATGCCCCATTTAAGGTGCCCTTTTCTGTTATCTGTTTTCAGCCAAATATGGAATGTGGCAACAAATTTTGGTTTTTACACCCGATGTTGAAAACTGATGAAAATCCGTTGTTTCTCAAGTTATTAATTGATTGTAGATATTGCGAGCTAATGGGTTTCATTTTTGCAAATTTTCGTAACAAAATTATTCCTTCGACGTGACAGTAATTTCAATTCATACATCCAAGTCATAACCTCAAGCGTCAAGACCATTCCATGGATTTAGTCTCTAGCGCCAAATTGTCTCCGTGACAGATATTGCAACTAACTGTTTGAATTACGTGATCATTCGTTCGTTCATAAGGCAAATTGTTTCTATACGAAGAAAATATAACCGGGAAAATTTGAATTGAAAGTCTGGTTACTGTGCTGTGGATATTAGTCTTCTGTGTTGTGATGCTGTGTGGACTAAAACGACGTTAAAACCTAGATGACCAACATATATTTCTTCACCGCCGTGAGAACCTCAAATCTGGTTATGTGTTGGTGTTATGCGTTCTCATCTTAAAAATTCCATTTCGCTGCTTAAAGCATTCGTAGTATAAACGTAACCTCTTTGATATTGTTTGGATAATAACTATAAGTAATTGTATACCTACGACCCTCATATTAATTTGTTTGTGTTTGGATACTGTTTCATTTTGTCATACGGCATGATTAAAATAAGTATACAGTTAACAATGAACGTTACTACTATTGATCAGCTCTTTATAGTCCTGTGGTAAACATACGTACCATGTTCTGTAGCAATCAGAAATTCTGCATTTTGCCTATATATTGTCTTTTGATGATTCTTAATGTAAATAGTGATCATTACCTCAAAGAGCATTAATCGGTTATCTTTGTAATGGAGATATGTGTTTTATCTGAGATATGGACTGAATTTCATATTATTCACTACGGCTACAAAGAGTCAATGAAATGCGTACATTTTCCCCTAATGTTCACAAATGATTTTGGTGCTGTGAGTATTTCTCTGTTCTTTTGTAATTCAAGATCTGTCGCCCGATGTAGATATCGGCTGCTTGGAAACTAACGCTGTGGGACAGTTGGTGACTTTGGAGGAAGAACTACGTAAGTAGTTTTCTCTTAAATGCTAAATGTAGGAACAATATTGAGCCACTTTATTTATACCGCGTGGAAGAGGAAGGGATGAGCTTTTATTTGACACCTTGGACGATAGGGTTTAGAGATCAAAGTTGACAATGGTAGGGTCAGTGTGCAATGATGCTAATTCGGCTTTGTGTAGCGGCTTATTCCCGAAGTACGCCGAAGGACTGTGGCATGTGACGTCACCGGATTGAGCAGGAAGACAGGCAGGAGAGAAAATGGCGAGTTGTTGCTGTGAGGAAGCTATGTGATCGGGTATTAAAATTATATGCTCAAAGACTTAAATGTTATTAGTGTTAAATGTAGTTACTTTGTAAGGTGCACTAGAACACTGTGGACAGCACCATGACAGCAAATATGTATAGAGTTGGAGGTAAGAAGGAAATATACAATATTATAACACAAGTTTTAAATAGCAGGGCCGGCTACAGTATAAGTTGCTGCGTGCGCATTGATATTTTTGTTGGCTGTTATGATGAGGTTCTTGTTGAGGCATTTCAGTTATTTTTGTTGTTTCAAATGAGTGACTACTTTACTGCAGTAAATGCACAACAGTTTAATCTACTATGATCAAATCATGTCATGTCACGTTTCATTGTACCGCGGAACTATTTTATAATAAGATACAGTAACAGCATGCTAGGTGTTAAGCGTCCAAACATAATTTTGGACCGTTTATTGTTTTCCCCAAGACCATTAGAACAACTTTTCTACACTCATGAATAAATTAAGTTTTATAATTAATGCCTGTTTACGTAGCACAAGCATCAGTATTGATATCATGATACTTAATAATGGTGGTTATAATCAAAGCATCTATATG